TGAAAGCTTCAAGAGTTCGAAGTAAATGCATTGCTTTCTAATTGACTGAATGTGGACATTAAGAATTCAGCATGCGTAAAAAGAATTAGATAAACGTTTGGTACGTCTGCTCGAAAACAAAACGTAGAAAATCACTCGATTGCACTTAGGTTTAAATTGAAAATAAACAAAGAGGAAAATAATACAAACAAGACAAAGAAAGAAATTGGGAGGGAAATTAAACAACATTTACAAAATTATAGAAATGGAAAATCAAAAATTGTCAAGGTAAATAAACTACAAACAAAAAGAACGAAAATAAAAAGATAAAATTTAGTAAAGCGAAATAATATATAGAAACAAAATAAATATGAATGAAGAAAGTAGAAGATAATAACAGGAAGAATGAAACAAAATGCATATTTCAAGAAAAGAATGCATAAGTAAGATGTGAATGAAATAAATAATACGAATTGACATAATATAAAATAGATCTTGTGATTTAATAAAAGTCAATGGACATAAAAAATACTCCAGAAAGTACATTGTATAAGATGAAAAATACCAGCAGTTCATCAGTATTCGGAAATATTCAGATTAAATAATTTTAACTGGGAGGACTCAAAACACACGTTAGAGAGAACGTATATATGAAATTATATAGATATGTAAACATTGAGAAAGAGGGTATCATTGTACCACTGTTTTTGGATTTGACCAAAGCTTTCTCACTGTAAATCGTGATGCTTTGTGAAGGATTCTTGTTAAGATTTTCCTCCAACGTTTGTCAATTTAGTGAAACTGCTATGATATGAAGGCTGGATTCACATATATAGTTGACGTTCAGATGAGAACAATGAGCAATGTGGCAAAGTAAGGAGATATTCTTGTACCACATCTTTTCTCAGTTGACTTTAATGTGCCCTTATCGCATGTCTGCCTTCAAGGACAGTCAAGCACGAGATCCACTGAGAATTAGAACATAAGAAAACGTGTTCAATCTCGGAAGGGGGAACATAAATACAAAAAGGTGGAATGACTGATGCGGGATTTGCTATATACCAAATGATGCACACTTTAGAGACCACACGAAGGAAGACCACCAAAACATTGCTTCTAAGGTGCTTACAATACTTTGAGGTTTATTATCCTGAGTTAGACAAGGTTGACGTCCTCCGTGAAGATATAAATATTAAAATAACAGAAACTGTTGTCCAAAAAGATATGAATGCTTATGGAGCATGTTGCTCAACTGCTTTTTCGAGAGCCTGTACTTTATAATGCTCCATAAGTTTTCTATCGGGTTGAGGTAAGGAGATTGGGGCGCCCATGTCATAACACTCACATTCTTCTCACCAAAGTATTCCTTCATCAATTTTGATTTGTGACAGGGAGCATTATCTTGCATAAAAATGAGATTGATGTGATCGATTTGCACCCTTTCAGCAGAAGGGAGCAGACAAGACTCTAAAATTCTCTTGTACTGCTCGCACCTGAGGGTCTTTTCGATAGGTTTTAAGAAACCAGTTTCATGAAAAAAAAGGTCTCTCCAAAACATTATACTGAACGGATGCTTGACAGTATTTACTGCTAAATTCAAAGAGCTTTCAAAGCTTCTTCTTCGGATTTTAGATCGCTTATCCTTTGAATTTAGCTCAACTTTCGTTTCATCGGAGAAGAGAACATTTAATAAAAAAATCAGATTTTGGTCAAGTTAAGTCGGGGGTTGGGATATCTGTCTATTGATACAAAACTTCCTTTTTTTACAGTAGAAATTTTTGGTAGTGCCTATGTTCCAAACACTCCCTCTGGGTTTCAATTGCAATACATCTGGCATTTTTATGTTTATTTTTTTTATATAATTTTTATTTTTAATTAAATTTCATTTATGATTTTTCAGATTCAAATATTATTTAGTCAACTTTTTAATATTTAAATTTTTATTCGTACCGTCTTAAGTTATTATATTTAATTTATTTAGTAACTGAGTACATATATGGCAATGTTAAAATTAATATATTAGAATCCAATTGTCTATCCATTATTTTATTCTGTATCCATAAATTATTTTATTCATGATGAAATAAAAAAAATATGTTAGTTGTCCTTCTTTAAATATTTGCGGCATTTAAAATAGACCAATAAAACCCCAACAGTAAAATGTAAATTATTAAAAAAGACAAGAACATGAAAAGTTAAATATTATTAATTTTCTGAAAAATAAAGGATTATTAAATCAAAGAAATGAAATAGCGATTTCTTATTGGCATTGCCATTTTTTTTGTTAAGTAATAGCTAATTTTATAAAATGAAACTCACATAGTACACGACTCCATTAATTTCGGCCACGAGATAATTTTCTAGACATCCCTGTCTGCATCAATAACAAAAGAAAACTATAAAAGGCACAACACACTAAGTTCAGTGACACCCACAACTATCTACTCTATAAATATTCCCACCCAAAAAACGTCTCAAAAGTCACAACACGTGTCTATAAAAAAAGACACTTAATCTGGGCAGAATTAAATATTGAAATTTCTACGCAGAGAGAAGTCCGAAAAAATGTTTCAACAGCCCACAGATAGAATTCATATATAATCCCATAGATAACCCCCACCAAGTCACACATTATAATCTCTGCAAAGGTAAATATATACTGCTGCTACTACATTGCAGATGACACCAATCTTAAAGGGTTCAAGCTGACTCCCCTAACATACACACACTCAACAACACTAGATAAACATACTTACAGAGGTTAACCATTAACACACTCACACATACACAAATATATGCACATACACACATTACAGACACTCCCGAAAAATTAAAAAATAACATACCCATAACACAACCAATAAAGCAGTCAAATTGACCAAAGAGATAAATCTGAGACTCATGAATCTGCCGACCACTCCTTAAAAAAAGAAAAGAAAAATTAAAAAAATATCTTTAACCAGTCACAGACCTGTCCAAATATTAACTATAAAACAAATTAAACCACAAGCTAAGTTCAATTTCCTCAGTGACTCTCATTCTCTCCTGTAGTTCACTGCTACTATAAGGAATGATATTTTTCTGATGATACCCATGTTGGCCGAAACTTGTCGAGGAGCCTAATTTTAAAAAATGAAAACAAAAATATTAATAAAACCCCAGTGTTTCTGAAATTTTAATTCTTAACAATTTGTATTGTTCATACATACATAACTATATATCTATATATATATATATATATATATATATATATATATATATATATATATGCATGTATGTATGTAAGTATCTCTAGATGGTATTCTGTTAGTGTTTCTGTGTCTCTATGTGTTTGTCAACTTGTTACCTCATCTCGAGCAAACCGTTCGTCCGATTGGCATGAAAATCCATACACAGATCGGAAAATTACGGTATTTGTACTTGCCGTCTTTGTATTTTTCAATTGTTCCTCCGATTTTGAAACAAATCGATAAAACCGATAGGGGGTCGAATACTGATTCAAAAAAAAATTCATGTGTTTTTCAGTGATAGCTTTCACAAATTACAAGTGATATCCACTAAACTTACGTTGAGCAATGTCTTTACTTATAGTTTTTAGGTGCAGTTCTTTGTTTTTAAAAATTGATATCAGTTATTGCAAAACATCGATAAAATCTATCACTTTGAAACATCCGATTCAAATCCAATGTAGCTGATTTTTGTTTATGTTTTTCGCAAACTGCAAAGAATTTTCACGAAAATCATGTTGAGAATTCGTTTTATCAACAGTTACTAATTGCTGACCTTTTTCTTCAATATTGGGATCAATTATCGGAAAAACTCGATAACATCATGCCATTTTGACTTCCAATTCCAATCCAGTCAAGCTGATTTTAGGCTATATTTTTCGCAAATGGCGAAGAATTTCCACCAAATTTACGTTGAGCATTGTTTTTATCAACACTTATGAGGTGCTGACATTCATTTTCAATATCGATATCAAGTACTTGAAAAATCGATACAATCAATCACTTTAAAACATCCGATTCAAGTCCAGTCTAGATGATTTTCGGATATATTTTTCGAAAATGGCGAAGAAATTTCAGCAAAATTCCCGTTGAGTGTAGTATTAAGGTGCTGACTTTCGTTTTCAATATCGGTTTCAATTATCGGATAAAAATCGATGAAATCATACCCCTGTTGACTTCCCATTCAAATCGATTTTACCTGAATTTGGCGATGTTTTTCGTAAATTGCATGGGATTTTGATTAACTTTATCGGCTTTAGTCGTGACAATTAAAACTTCTGCCCTGTGAGCAACTTTGTGACCAACTAATACCTGAGGGAATTCAATACAATCATGTCTTCGTCGGAATTTGTGAATAAACGAATCAAACCTAAGTTCAACTGAGACGTCTACACTACAGACTCTACAGCTAATTGTTATTCACACACGCGTGACCATGCTTCACATAGCGGTATCTCATTGGCTAACTGCAGTACGCGGTCGCTCATTGGTGTTTGAGACACTAGGACGCTCGCTGATTAGAACAAACGATTGGCAGGTAATACTTCGCATTTTAACCTGCTGTGCACAGCTGTTGTACGAAGGTATCACTTCTGATCCTGTTACGCCACCTTCAACTGATCATTTCTCCTACCGCTAATTGTTTCTTACTTTTTACGTTTGTCTGTTTAACTTCATTTTTTCAACTACCATAAAAATATATTCAGCTGTTTTACTTAAATACCTGTCTTCCCAATTCTGACTCACGCTTTCCGATACTAAGTTAGACATTGTACTCCACCAATTGAGCAGCCCTAATCAACCACTACTAGCATCACTTTTCCCCTTGCCGGAAAAAAGGAGGGTATGGTCTAAAAAGAGCATCCGCTATGAGAGCAAGAAGGGCCCGCGAGTCCCAGGAGCAGTCTACAATGCAACTATCACAGGTCGCTCAACGTAGCGCCCTCGCGCAGGCCTCGCAGTCAAAAGAGCTGGCTGGGAAAGCTGCCTACAAGTTGCGACCAAAGCTCGAGAATGAACGCACAGGATGCAGCAACCGCCTCTGCATCAAGAGCTTCCGAGACCCATCATCAAAGGCTTCTTTTTAACGTAAGAAACGCTGCTGCCACAGCGAAATCAAGGGATATAGAGACACTTGACCGCAGGCGCGCCAGTCAATCCAGGGACGCTGCTGCAACAGCGAGGCAGAGGCTGCTGAGACACCACTTTGTAGATCTGTTCGAAATGCTACGAAAGCTGCCACCACTGCCAGGTCGAGTGCAACTGAAACATTCGACCTCAGGCGCGCACGCCAATCCAGGGAAGCTGCTGCAACATCAAATGCTAGGACTGTTGAGACACTGCTCCGTAGATCTGTTCGAAATGCTAGAAATGCTGCCAACACTGCCAGGTCGAGGGCAGCTGAAACATTTGACCTCAGACGCACCCGTCAATCCAGGGACACTGCTGCAACAGCTAGGTCGAGGGAGCCCGAGACAGAGCTGTGGCTGGCAACCGCAATGCCCACAACGTTGCAGCCATTTCTGCTGCCAGAAAATCCAAGGGCCCACCGACAAGGGTACACAGACTTTCATGGGCTGCTACTAACATGGCTGCCGTGCAATTATCTCAACTCCCCAAGTTCACCACATAAGCCTCGACGGCGAAATTCAGCGCCTTGAGGCCGCCCGTACTGTTACCTGTCCCAGTAGCTCTTTTTGGTTTTTCTTGGCTTTCAATTACGACCCATGTATTAACTTAACTACGCGTGACGACATCAATGTAGGTTCCATGACCTGCGTTTGCCAATTCTGCAACGCCCACAAAACGGCCAGGCAGTCTGCTGGTCTGTGCTTTCTCCTCCGGCAAAGTTCGACTGTCACCTCTGCGTGAACCACCTACTTCGTTGAGGGGACTAATGGCCGGCTCCACCCCGTCTCCAACTACTTCCTTAAAACAATTAGGCAATACAACAACTGCTTTCAAATGACCTCATTTGGGGATCAGATGGTTCGTGAAGAGGTTTGGAAGCCAACTTTCAAAGTACAGGGCAGGTATACCACCGCATTGTGTCTCTGTTGCCTGAGGAGACCTCTACGCCTAAATTCCTTCAACTGTACTTTACTGCAGACTACAATCTGCAGGCCGAAATCCAGATTGGCATTTTGCCTACGTCAGGAAGAGTTCCTCGCAGAGACGTCATACTACTACTTCAGGCCATGCTTCACGAGGTTAACAGCTACATTCGCAGTTTCAAATGTGCTTTGGAAAGTGCTCCCTTTCCTTCCTTCAGCATTGTAACTGACGCCGACAAACGGCCTCATGATGAACAAGAACGCCGCTACAATGCTCCTGCGTGCAACGAAGTGGTCGCTATTATGCATGGGGAGCAAGACCGCACTCGTGATATTGTTCTCAAATAAAGAGGCGGCGCTCTTCGCAGGATTTCAGAGACCCATCGATCATATGACGCATTTCAATACGCTTTACTTTTCTCTTAGGGATACGATGGCTACCACTTCGGCGTTTATACTCCGGGTGGCCAACCTACAACATCTTCCAAAGCCTTATCGTGCAAGGCCTTCTACTCATACCGTTTCATGGTTAGGGATGGAGACTTCAACATGCTTCATAGATGCAGTGATCTTTTCCCCCAGTTTCCGGTTGACATGGACGCTAAGATGGAATCGGATAGGCATTGTTTTATACGGAATCATCAGAAACAGCTGCGCTCAGACTCCTACGTACACTTACGCGACAGCCTTCGAAATGAAGTTAATACCCGCGACCTAGAACATCTGTGTATTCTGCCCTCTACCTACACTGGGGGCCGCGTTACATGCATGAACGCACGCAGGACGCTATGACATACGTTAGGCAATATGGGAGGCCAGACTTATTTATAACGTTTGCCTGCAACCCCAAATGGGTTGAGATAACGCTTGAACTCCTACCCGGACAGGATTACACTCACAGACATGACATTACCGCCCGCGTATTTCGCTTAAACTGGGAAAACTTATGGACTTAATAGTAAAGGGGTGATTACTACAGTGAAAACGCAACCAGTATTTTACATTGCCAGAATTAAAAATCTTGACCGATTATGAACGGGTGGCAGTCATCGGGTAAGCACGGAACAGAAACACAGCAGCCACCTATTGCAACGGCTGGCCTTGATTTTGGTACCAGTGAGATTCCCAGCCTATCAATGACCTCAACAACAGCGGATACGTGCGTAAGTTCAATAATTCAAACCCCAAAGCAATTTAACTACATAAAACCCCGAGCAACACCAGGTTTTACTGCTAGTATATATATATATATATATATATATATATATATATATATATATATATATATATATAATTATTTATTTAAAAATATGATTCCATCGCTATATTGGTTCATTGGTTTTGTGGGGGATTTTTTTTTCTATTTCGTCTATTCTAAGAGGTGTGATTTTAAGTAACGTAGTAAAAATAGTAGTTTACTAAGTTACTTAAATATCGAAAACGGAACAAATAAAAAATAAAAATAAATAAATAAACAAAATGACAATAAAATAAGCAAAATTAATTGACCCAAACAAATTACAAAATCACACCTATTAGAATAGACGAATAGAAAAAAAACAATGAACCCAAATAAAGTAAATAATAAACAAATTAGCAAACTGTTGTGGTAGGATCCACCTAATTTGCATAGTGGAGTACCGACCATATAAATATGGTTGGTACCGGGAAGAGAGGAAGGAATCAAGAGATTCAACCAGAGACTCTGCCCGCCTGCGACTCAGTCAACACATTCTCCAGGAACGGTCTTACCAGGAATATACAAAAGACTATATGTAAATATTGTGTACACTTTCTTGTTTCAATACATTTTGTTCTAAGTACATTTTGTGTTGTATTATTATTCCATGCATTAGTCAAATTTCAACACAAACCATTATGACCAAAATATTAGTTAGACTATAAAAACAAAACCAAAAAATCGGACGAAATAAATAGCTATAACCGTTATATAACGATAAAAAAATACAACGTTACTTAAAAATCGAAAACCGTAAAGAGAAAATATACAGTATAACAACAAATAACACGTAAAATAATTTGATTTAAATTCACCCAAGTAAATAAATAAACTAATCCCGATAAACCAAACGTTAGAAAAAAACAAAGATAATCATTCCAAATAAATACATGAAGTAATAAAGAAATTAAAAACTGTCCCGCCAAAATAATAGTTAGAATAAACTAAAACAATCAACCCCAAAATTGAATAAATAACTTTAATTATCTTCCCAAACCAAAACAAAACTATTAAACAAGATATATAAACAAATTGTTACTACGTTAATATAAACACCGATTAAAAAATGAAAATTGATTAAATAAATAAATAAATATGATAAGTAATAAAAAAATAAAATTAAAATTAAAAAAATAAAAACAAGCAAAATAATTTAGGGCAAATAAGTAAATAAATAATGACTTCCAGTAAAATAACCGCCAAAATAGGCTACCCACAATGCAACACTGACCTGTATATATATATAAATAGCCGAGACAATTAACAGCACTCGTGGCCCGACAATTGCGTCTAGCATGAAACAGATTGTAGCCTCTAAGTGTTGACTTCTATGTTCACTTTTATATTTACACACACTATCTCAAATATTGAGCACTTTATCCCATAAATATAGCACATCTTAAGACTATATTTCTTCATATATATATATATATATATATATATATATATATATATATATAGATAGATAGATAGATAGATAGAGAGAGAGAGAGAGAGAGAAAGAGAGATTTAGAAAGCAGGAGAATGAGTTCGACATTGCATTTTAAATTTTGAAGTTTAAACTTGGCTGGAAAGCAAGTATAGGTTTTCACGTGGGAGAAATTAAAGAAAATAACCTATTGGCAGAAAACGTGTGGTTATATGTAACCATGCTATCTGTAAAGTAGACGGAAATCTACAGTAATGCGGTGTGAATGAGACTAAAGCTAGTGATGTCAGATCAGGATCAATGATATTGCAGATTGTTTGAAATGTATTAAGGATCTGAAAATATCTTTCAGGAGCAACATACCATATGTTGCAGCATTACTTAAGAATGGACGAATGAAAGACTCATAGATAAGATATATTTAGCCGCCAAAATAATTGCATAGCACTATACAGTGAACAACGAAAATATATGCATGGTGATTCAATCGCAAGTTACTACATCGTAAATTTGCGTCCATATTCCTACCCTTAGTATTAGAATTTGTGCAATAAGAATTTGTGCGACAAAATAAAATAAGTGATGAAATCTTAAACCCCCAAAAAGTAAACATAACTGGATAGAGTATATACTAAAACACATCTAAAAATAGATATAAATCATTTTAATCCCATGTAGGTGGAATGGGTAAACTCTTAATCTCTCTCACTCTCACACACTCTCTCACTCTCTCTCTCTTTCTCTCTCTCTCTCTCAAGCATACACACACAGAGGCAAACACACACACAAACTACCTATGTGTAGAATTTAAAAGAAAAAAACTGCAGAAATCCGATTGTAAATTTTTCAAAAAGCCGAATCTTTACAGAAATCAAGATGATATTTGCAACATCTGACAACAGGAGAATTTAGCAATAATGACATTTCCAGATTCAAAGAACCTTTTTTTACCAGAGATCTGAAATCATGAGGCGCTGCATACATACAAAAACTTGTTCTTATGAGCCTGGATAAAAAAAAGTATGCGTATTTCAATTAACCCCACACCGATTCATTTATAAAACCCTTGCTTTTTCTCTCATCTCCCTTATTATTTTTCCTCTCTTTCTCGCACACTCAGCGCCATTCATTTGACTGTTTATGTTTTTCAAATAATACAGAGTTAATTATTTTTTAAATAAATTATTGAGAGGCCAATAAAGAGGATACCGTAAACTTGAAACCAAAGTGGCGGAATAAACTGATCTCGTAATTGTTAAGATTATTGGCAATTTATAATACTACTGTTTCCTTGTCTAATTAAAATCTGCCCATTATTATATATACATATTTGTGTGTATCCGTTGGTATTTCTTATTGTTATGGACCGGTTCCTTGTACCACGGTGATAGTCCAAGGTAGAACCAATAAAAAAGAACTCGAACACGGATATGGAATAACACAGATATATTACAAACAGGAATATATACAGAAAAATAGAAAGTGTTAGTACGAACAATCTGGTTTAGTAGGGAGAACAATGTAGTCTCGACCAGTATCACTATTCCAATGTCTTGTAGTAATTGTCTGAACGCGACTCTGTTTCGGACTGCCTTTGACTCGACTGGCTGACTCGCTCACGCTGACTGACTGACAGACTCCTGACGGACCTCACTCCAGATTCAGACTGAACTCCCTGCTTCCTCTTGAGGCGCAGTATTTATTACGTATGGGATATTCCATTATGTTATTATGGATAAGGTCCCATAACAACCCCCTTCCGAAAATTTTGCGTAGCAGGGGTTTTTTAATATCTTTTTTTCTTTGGATCTATTTCCAAAGGTTCAATACATTTTTTTCTAGACGATTTTCTTGGTTCTAGCATTATTTGCGGTCTTCTTATATCGAATGTGTCGAAAATCGTGTCCAATACCTCTTCTTGAGGTGGACCGTTAACATCCTCTAACGGTCTCTTCCCTATTTGGTTTACGTGTCTTCGGTGTGAGAATTTTTTTATTTGAACTATGTACATCATATTGCCAATTTTTTTCTCAATTATCCCTTGTTCCCAGCAAGAGGTATTATTTTTGTATGCCTTAAAACCTTTTTTCCCGTGGGAGGAATTTTCTTTTTGGTGCGTAGGACTGTGATACTTGTTTTGTTTTACTTGGTAGTAATTTATCGAACGCTGATCTGATTTCTGCTGGTGATAATGTTGATGGTGTCGCATTACTTGGCGTTATTCTATATACCTGTAAGAATTGCTGTAATGCTTTCTCCGTAGGCACATCGTACGCTTTTCGTAATGCTCTTTTGAGAGTATCCACGAATCTCCCCGCTTGTTTATTTGATCTTGGATGGTAAGGCGAAGATTTTATATGTTTTTACTTGATAGATTTCGCAAAATTCTTGGAAATCTGCTGGCGAGAATTGCGTTCCGTTATCTGTTACTAAACAGTCCACTACGCCAAACCGAGCGAATAGCTCGTGGAGGAAATTTATGGTCGTTTCTGTAGTAGGATTTTTGCACCGAAAAACCTCCGGCCATTTACTGTAGCTATCGAATATGACTAAATAGTAGAACCGGTCAATTGGTTCTGCATAATCTGCGTGTATTCTTGACCACGGAGAATCTGTTTCCGGGCAAGACTTATGTTTGATTGGCGGTGCTTTAGCGGCTAAATTACAACACTTGCACAT